CTGTATTGTTTTTAACACTCGATTGGGAGCTGCCCAGAGTGGCTGGGGAAACTCAGCCAGATAGGTGGGGTATAAATAATAAATTATTATTATTATTATTATTTACCAACTTCTTCTTCACAGAATCTTAGAGCTGGAAGGGAACACAAGGATAATCTAGTCCAACCCCCTGCAATGTAGGAAACCTTTGCCCAACATGGGACTCAAACCCATGACCCTAAGTTTAAGAGTCTCATGCTCTACCAACTGAGCTACCAAGGCAGATAGTAGACTATATTTTGTAGATTTTATGTTAATTTAATATTCTGTTCTCTTACCATGAGTTGTTTATCCACTTTATCTTCACATTCACATTTTGTACACCATGGTTCATATGTTATCCATTATTTTGCTACTCTTAATTTTTGATTTTTTTAAAAAGGAAAATAGGGCATTTTTGATTATGAGATAGTTGCTTCTTGTTATTCTTAGGAATAGTAAGTGATATATTGGAAAATATATGAGAGTGAATTAAGAGCATGGTTAATAATTTTGCTTCATATTTTTTGTTGGTGTGCAGTCATGCCTTGCTAAGCTAACTAAAGGCTAATGAAATGAACAGTGTGGGGCAACACTACTGATTCTTGGGGGAAGCCGGCAGTAGCTGTTGTGTAACATGTTCTGATCTCGTATATGTCAAAACCCCATGTGTCACTTTCATTTATTTTCAGTGACTGTTGTTTTCACACAGCATGAATGTAGCTATTAGACCTTGCATCTCATACATTTATGTTTCTCTCATTTTGGTTTTCTCTCTCCAGCTTTGTTTCATTTGCATATATTAAGTTTCAATTTTGTGTGTATGCGTTTCCTTTATTGTAATTTATTAAAATGGAATTAAAGGCTAATAATAGCCAGGCAAGAAACTATACCCAATGGCGGTTAGAAATGTATGCCACTGAATGCTAATTTATAGTGCTGGATATGGCTGGGCGATAACTGGTTTTCAATATTGCGATATATCACCAGCTAAACATCCTGATATATCTATATACTGTATCATGATATCTGAAATAAGGAAGGAACTATGCAGAGGTGAACGGGACAATGTCCTGGCAATTGCTCCTACTTAAGGGTCTAAAACTGATAAATTGTGATATTATCAATCACTTCACGGTCACTTTCAGCAGCAGGCAAGCCATAATGTATCCAAATGAGACTTTTGTTTTGGGGCTTGGCTACCAAATGTTTGTATTCAGGACAATCCTATGATGAGTCATAGTGAATGCAAATAATCTGGGACTGCCAAATGGCCAAACCAAAAGTCCTTTTGGGATGCATTTTGGCTTGCCTGCTGATGAAACTGAGTGTGTGATAGTTGATCATATTGTTATTTATCCATTTTAGACCCCTAAGTAGTAGCAGTTTGGGAGTGGGTTTTCAGAAATGTATATAAGCAGTGGCATGCCTATTTTCTAGCCATCTCTTTCTTTGATACCTCATGAAGACAGAAGGAAGAGAGAAACACTTTGAGTGAACAGCTGTGCATCCCCCCCTGAGCTTGTCCAGCTGCTTGGTTTCATGGAGAAATATGCTGGTCCCTCAGAAACAGTCTATAGAAACAAAGGTTGCCTCTGAGCACAATAATTTCTGCAGAACGAAAGCTCCTGTGTAAATCTCCCTGAGAGTTGCTTTTGGGGACTAAGGAGCAGTATAAAATGACTTGTATTTTCCAGATTGCATTAACAGTCTTGAAGGCCAGTCCACAAATACTTTTTTTCTTTTTAAAAGAACCACTCTGCACAGTCAGGGAGAAAAGGGGCAGTTAGCATCCACTGAGTTAGATTCAACTAGGAAGGGAGGAAGGTGTAAGAGATTCATTCGAATTTCTTGTGGAAATTATTTCCCAGAAAAGGCTGCTATTGGCTTTCTTACCAGGGGCTCCAATATTCCAGCTGGGTTTATTTCACTTTTTATGCCCTTTCATTCTTACAATAAACTGCTTATATTAATCAAAGACATCCACTTCCTTGCTATGAACAGCTTCTTTTTCAAGATGTGAGACTATTTCCTATTGTTGTAAGCTTGCGATGTGTGTGTTAGGCTGTATGCCTGAGTCCCTTCTAATTCATTGATCCAGCAAGAATTCAGTTGTTGCCATAGCCAGACCAGCTTCTTGGTAATGGTCCCCTAAGTGTGGGTTGTTAGGATAACAAAGGAAGTAGCTCTGTGTCGGAGGGCAGGTGGCTGGGCCAATCTACCTCAACTGGTAGTTAGAAGGACAAAAGTCTGAGGTGTGTGAGAGAACTAGAAGCTAAAATCAGGTGGCAAGCAGAAGCTTGTGAGGGAATCCTGCTTGATTTCTACTGGAATCCAAGGCTCTGGCTAAGGGAGAAGCAAGATCTTATTGAGGTGTTAATGCTGTGAGCCCCTTCACCTTAGGCTCAGGTTGTATATATGTGTCAATGATTTACTGTACAGATTCTTCTTGAAAGTTTTGTCATTGCGTTTTGAAAAGCTGCTGACCTGCACTTTTTGCATATTTGTAGTCATGTTGTTTAGTCATTCAGTCGTGTCCAACTCTTCATGACCCCATGGACCAGAGCACGCCAGGCACTCCTGTCTTCTGCTGCCTCCCGCAGTTTGGTCAAACTCAAGTTAGTCTGGGATATATTGATTTATTGCTCAGATAAGCGTCCGGTCCGGCACGCTTCCCCCAAGAGTCTCGGCATTCCAAGAGTCCGACTCATCTGAGCATAGCAGAGTTGAAATCAACAGCGGCTAGAGGAAGCTGCAAAACACTCCCGTGCATTCTTCAGTGTACTTAAATAAAGTCCACTCAGGTTCTTGGCAGCTAAAAGCAGTTTTATTTACAGCAGGCTATCCATTATCTATCACAGCGAACAGCATCGTGAAAACACGTCCTCTCTCCTCAAAAGCGAAAGTAGAGAGACAGAACAAAGACTTTAGTCTCTCGGAACTGACGTAGCATTTTCCCCCCTCCTTTCCACAGTAGGCAGAGCGTACACTCTGAGCTGTTTAACCCTGTAAGCTCAGGTTTTCCTCACACCCCCTCTCGCTCTGCGCTACTGTGGGGACAGTAAGTACAGAACTTACCCCCAACTCCAAACCACCACAAAACTCCCCATGACGCTGGAAGCTTAAAGGTTTGGTAAATCCATCGGCCAGGTTACTGTGACTGGCACAGTACTTCAGTCGTATCAAACCTGACTGAACACTCTGACACACATTTTGGAAACGTATGTCCAGATGCTTGGTTCTCGCTTTAAATTGCGCAGATTCAGCCAACTTCAAACAAGGCTGATTGTCTTCCCAAACCGTGATGGGCAAGCTACAATCCCCATAGATCTCTTGCACCAAGCATCTATAGAACTCTAGTTCTCGGCACAAGTCTGACAGTGCACTGAATTCAGCCTCAGTAGAAGACAGCGCAATGAGACTTTGCTTCCGGGACTTCCACCCAACCAGTGACTTCCCAAACTTTATCACCAACCCAGACACAGACTTGCGGTCCTGCGAATTCGCCCAGTCACTGTCCGCATAGCATGTGAGCTTCGCCTCACCTTCAGCTGGCAGCTTAAGACAGAAGTCTTTGGTATGCTGCAGGTAGCGCAGTACCCGCTTGATACCGTGCCAAGCACTCACACTGGGCTTTGACGCTTCCCTACTTAGCAGGTTGGTAGCAAAGGCAATGTCTGGTCTGCTCCATTGGGACAGATACAACAGACTACCTAGAGCTGACTGAAAGAGCTCAGCATTCTCAAACTCAGCACTCTCTGCTTGCTGGCTATCTTTCACGAAGTTCGTCTCCATGGGTGTCCGAACTCCTGCACAATCGGACATTCTGAACTTCTCCAGCAACTGCTCAATCTTGCCTTTCTGACTGAGCAAGAAGCTACCATCCTCAGTTCTCGCTATCTGGACGCCTAGGTAGATCTTTACTGCACCCAGGTCCTTGAGCTGAAACCGTTTCCCAAGCTCTTTGGCAAACTTCTGCACCTGTTTGTCTGCCTTTCCAACATGGATGATGTCATCAACGTAAAACAACACCAGTTCCTGTGAGTCTCCTGATCCTCTAAGGAACAGGCAACTGTCAGCAAGACTCTTCCTGAAACCTAGCTTCTCCAAAGCTTCATTCAGGCACAAGTTCCAATTCCTGGCCGACTGCTTCAGGCCGTAAATTGACTTGTGAAGTTTCCACACAGTACCTCGCTCATTGCCCTCAAACCCTGGAGGAGGAAGCATGTACAGATCCTCCTGGAGGTCTGAGTTCAAGTAAGCAACATCCACATCAAAGTGATGCACCAGCAAACCTCTTTGTGCAGCGATGGCCAAGATCAAGCGTAGAGACTCACTCCTACACGTGGGCGCATAACTCTCCGTATAATGCAACCCCTCTGCTGCGTGAATCCTCTCGCCACTAATCTGGCCTTATACTGCGGTTCTCCTGTCGCTGTGGGCTTAAGACGGTAAACCCAGCGGCTACCCACTGCCTTTTCACCCACCGGCAACTTCGTGAGGGAGAACACACCTAGAGACTCCATTGAGGTCATCTCCTTCTGCATCGCCTCATGCCATTTCCTGGCTTCTTCTTGAGGCAGTTTCTGAACATCCTCAAAACTCTCGGGTTCACACTGTGCCATTCCGACCCACACACTAGTGACGGCAAACCTTTCAGGAGGTTTCCCTTGGTCGTCCGCGTTGAACGGCGCAGCACTACTTCAGGAACCCCTCTGACCCACTAGGGCCAGCCAGAACGTCCTTGGCATCAGAGAGCTCCCCTCTGACTTACTGCGCCTTCTGGACTTCTCAGCCGAACCTGTGGGGAAGATGGAGCACTGCGTTGCTCACTCTTCACAGCCTTGGGAGAAGTTCTCCCTCTGCCTGCACTGGGTCTGGACTCTGAGCCTCAGTCGCAGGTTCAACCTCTTCCTCTCCTTCATCAGCAGAGTCTAGCAGACTCTCTGACAGGATGTCAGGGTTCCCATGTATCCTTGCCCAGCCACTCTGCTCACAGAATTCAGCACTGTTGCTGAGCAGAATCCTGGACTGATTCCCTGACGGATAAGCAAACCTCCACCCCTTGGTCCCTGGCTCATACCCACAAAAAATCATCTTCCGGGACTTGGGTTCACCTTTCTTGCGTTTGGCCTCTGGTATGGGGACCCAAGCCTCACAGCCAAAAACGCGGAAGTAGTGCACTTTCGGTTTCTTGCCATGAAGCAAGAAATATGGTGTGTCACCTACCACTGAATTGAACG